GGGGGGGGGGTCTTCGACCTGAAAAATCAGGGGTTAGGATTTGCACCCGGTCGAAAGAAACCTTGCTATCGCAAGAGTAACTCCAGCTAGCTTCGCTAGCTTTCGTGATAAAAAGCATGGAAAAAAGTTGTGGTGGGAGATCCAACATCTCAGCTGACGTTCCGGATGTCTTCCTTAGACCGAGTTGTCAAAGAAGTTCTGCATGGAAACTTGAGGGACTCAGGTGTGACAAGTGTGAGCACCTCTTGTTCGTTTGCAACTTCCATCAGGTTCCTGAGATGTTGATATTCTTCCACATCCCAACGGCTCCTCCAGACCCAAGGTCACAAGCCTGCACTTCTCCGGGTCGCCTGCAGCTGTTTTTGTTTGTTCGGAACATGGCAAGTCTGGAGAACAAAGTCAACATCAAATGTGTTCGACTTGCTCGGCAAACCGGTCGCATTTCGCTCGGCACATTTGGGCCCAAGCCCCGAAACATGTTCACCTTTTTTTATCATCTAAAAATGGCACAGCAAATGATGCATGCCCAACTAACAACAGAATTTGTTGAATCTAATTTGATTTTGCTGAACCGAACTCGCGCCACTCGCCGCTTCGTATTCAGTTTCGAACCCACCGTTGCCCAGCTTTCCTCTCAACCTCGGGGTCAATAGAAAGAAGAGAGGCAAATCTTCAAAAATCACTTGGATGGTTGGAAGTTCGGGGGTCCATGGAGACCCCCCCTACTCCCACCCGATTGGTGATCTGCACCAGTCTGCTTGGGAGGGTCCCCGCCATGTCGACGGTGTCTGGGCGCTCCGAACGGCACAATCTCCACTGGGCTACCCGACTCTGAGAGACGTTCCTGGGTCTTCTTGAGCTCCTGCGTTCGAAGCCGGAAACGACCCAAGTCGTTTCGAGTGCAAAAAGGAACCAATGATCCAAACCTGCCAAAGAAAAGGATGTTTTTTGAATAGGGAGACCCCTGCAAACCCAGGTGAATTTGTTCGTGACAAAGGATTGGATTTCATAGGATTGGATCAGTGGGGATTGGTATATAGGCCAGTCTCCACTATCTGCCTCAGTGTGCTTCTGCACGTTGTCCCCGAGCAAGTTCTCGATGAAGTTCATGCGTTCCTCACAGCTTACCAGGCTTACCAGGCTTAGAATCGACACATGCGACCTGCAACTGACACCGTCTCCAGCTGGACACAAGGTACTGCGCCTGCAAGGAGGAGTGCTTCCTCTCGCTGTGCTCAGTCATCTGGCCGTGCCTCAGAGCCGAGTCCATCCCCGTGCAGCCAGAGACCATGTCCCGCGGCAAACAGTGCTTTGAGCATCTGCCAAAACGTACTGGAAGAAGTAGAGCACATGATTCAGCAAGGTTGTCACTCTTGAGGGGGGCCTATCGCTTTTGCAGGTTTTAGCCGCAATGTCAACATAGCTGAACATGTCCAACAACTGCGGAAATGTGGCTATCGCTTTTGAGGGGGCCTATCGACTTCCAGGTGTTAGCCCAAATCCTGAAATTCACAACTACAATGTCAACTCTTAGTCATTGCGCGTTTTGGTTGCTCCTTTGCCTTCAGATGATAAGCACAAGCAGAACACATGCAGAACACATCGGTGTTTGCTGCAGAACGACCGGTCTCGGAGCAGCCTCTGTGCGCCTCTCGTCTCTCACGTCTCGGGTGTCCGGCAGGACCCGAAACCGATGGGCATGGTGTCCAGTTGGATAGGGACCACTTGTCACCAACCTCCAAAGTTGGAGTATGGATCCCGACGTAAAACAATCCAAGTCCTTTCGTTCCATGTCTTGCAGATTCACCCAAGGCCTTTTTGCACATTCCTCAGCTTCCGGACAGGTCAGTAATCTTCTGATGGGCACTACGAAGATCCTGCAGAACGACACAACCGCTACAGAATGGAGCCCTATCTTCGTTTTGTCAATTTCTTCGTACAGGTTGCTGATAATGAGGGAATGAAGAATGAGATGTCAGAGATTCCGGATGCCGGTCCCTTCTTCCCGAAAACAAAAGCACCAGATGTTCCTTTGCCAATCCATGGCAATTGCATAATCCATGGGCTCCCGAAAATCGTCTTGGAGTATTACACTCTAGTGCCTGTGCTCGATCCTTTTCATCGCCTTGCTCACGGCCCTCTAAAGAAGATTGAGACCTTGCAGTGAGGTCGTCAAGGATGAGGTGTGGCTTTGCCGTCTGCCTCGATCGGATCAAGTTTTCCTCTCTCCATCTCTTCGTCCACTGCGATTCAAGGTCTCGCGCAGTCCACTCAAGTCTGGCCAGTCCGTGGTGCTGAGTCGACAGTAGGCACGGCAAGGGTCGCCAGTCCGGGTCACGTGGAGCCCCCTGAGTGTTCGCTCACCATGCGGCCATGCATGGGCCTAAGGAGAAAAGCCAAACTCTATTTGCAAATGAAAAAGCTCATCCGCGCAAGCTCATCCGCTCGTCGGAGCTGTTCAGGTGTATACTCACTGCGATCGTGTCGATAGATCATTCGCTGAATATCTAAACCAGAATTGGCCAGAGACACTGGGTCGGGCTTCGAATAGTCTCCAGAGGCCTTCTTTGTCGGATCAAACGAAAAGGCATCCACCACATTGGTCTCTCCAGAGCCTTTCTCCGGAACAGCCGGCTTCTTCAGCTTGGAGTCCTGCAAGTCTGGCTCAAAGAATAGGGGAGCCAAGTATTTGGAGCATTGCTGAAACCTGGGAGGATCCTTCCAGCTTCTGTGCAAAAAGAAAAACCATAAAATGCAAAAGGGTGAAGGTCAAAGGGCCAAACGATCCCTAAACGTTCAAAAATAGTATATAATAGATAAAACGAAAAACATCTCCTCTTCAGCAGGTTGCTTGGATTGCTTGGCCTTCTTCTCATCCTTCTCCTCGCGGCTCCGCTTCTCCTTCACGTCTGGAGTCTCCGCCTTCTCTCGCAGCTGTTCCTCTGCTCGCTCCTTGGCTGCAGCTGCCAAGGCAGCTTCGAAACTCTGACGTTGCAGCTCCTCCTCACGATCTTTCTTACCCTTCTTCTTCTGCTTCTTCTCTGTCTTTTGCTTCTTTTCCTTCTTTTCCTTTTTCTTCTTGCTCTTCTTGTTCTTCTTCTTTTCCGTCGTCGAGTCAGAAGAGGAGCCCATGCCAGGTCAAAAGGAAGCTCTTCTCGAAAGCAGAAAGCAGGTCGAAAGGAAGGAGAACCGTGGCAAGGTGTCACTTGAGCCGAATTGAACTTGTGACAAACAGCTTCCAGTCGGAAATGGCTTGAAGACGGCGTACAAGCGTTAACATTAGCTGGTTTTTCGGTGCGCAACCCGGTGTTTGAGGTGGTGCGCAGGGTGGTGCGCAGCCTGGTGCTTGGAGTGGTGCACGCGCACCACTCTGCGCACCACTTTGCGCACCGCTTTGCGCACCATTTTGCGCACCACTTCAAACACCGCACTGAGCACCCCTCCAAACACCAATCCAAACACCATGTGAAAAGATATCAAGATTGGTGGGCGCGCTGTTGTGTTTCACGTTCTGTATGCCAACATGTTTTGGCAAGCGCGCGATCGCTTTTCAGCAAGAACACGCGTTTAAAATCTAAATCCCACGTCCATTGAGCTCCTTTCCGTTGAGTTCTGGTTGGGTTCCATTGGCTTCCGTCCCAGCATTGAACGCCCAGAATTTAGCCAGTTTTTTCGCAATTCCACCCGCCCACACACTTTGTTTCTCAATTTTCGTCTTTCCGTTGACTTCCGTTGAACTCCCGCTGGGTTCCATCCCGGCCTTTAACGCCCAGAATTTTGACGAGCCAGGGCACACTGTTTTCCTATGTTTTCCTGAATTTATTCATGACTGGAGTCTTTTCTATTGAGTTCCGTTGGGTCCGCTGACTTCCGTTGAGTTCCCATTGAGTTCCGCTGCGTTCCGGTTGGGTTCCATTGGCTTCCGTCCCAGCCACTAAAACGCCCAGAATTTAGCCAATTTCTCCGCTCCTCGCGTTGTTTTCC